TATATCTCTATATAAATTTTGCTGATGAATGCTATTGTTATCTTTTGTGTTTGCTTTCCACTCTTCCTTTAGTTCTTCTATTTCTGTTTGCTGTCTTTTCTTACTATACTCTGCTTGCATATTTTCATTTTTAATGACAATTTCAATACCTTGCATCTTATTTTTTTCTTTAGCAACATCTTCTGGTTTCATGTTTAAAAGATAGTCTACTAATTTTAGGTTTAGACTCATAATTCTAATTCTTATAGCACAGTTTTCGACAATTTTACTTTGTAACCATATGCTTTCAGCCTTTCTTAGTGCTACTATTATTTGACTGTAAAGAAGCAAGTCATATACAGTAATTTTATCTACATCTTCAACTACTTGACTTTTTGCTATTAGCTCTATGTCATCTGGACTTGATGGTTTTGTCTCATCTAAAACTTTTAATAGCTCCTTATTATTTATATATTTAACTACTCTTGCCCTATAGTTGCTAATATATTTAAGCAGACTTTGCATTTGTGCACTTTCTACATAAACCAAATCTTCTTCTAGATTTTTCTGCATGTGTATATTTGTTTGTTTACCTTTGTTTGTTGTTGTATATCTTATTTATTACTAAATTTATATGTATCTATGTTTGTTTACTTCTGCTTTTGGTTATGTGTTTCTGCTTGTTGTTTTCAAGATCAATAGCGATCCCAGAAAAGGTTTCCAATTTTTAAAAATTTTCTTATTTTTTGCAAGGTTTCTGTTCTAGTGCCTTTCACTTTTTTTGGTTATTGTGTCTCTATACTATTTCTATATATTTTATCTTTTTGCTTCTTTTTTTTTATAACACTTTTGTATATTTTCTATATTGTTTTTTGTATTGTTGTCACTTTTGTATTTTTTCCAAATTTGTGAAAAAGAATCAGTGGAAAGCATTTGTATGAACTTTTAGTCTTTTTTATTTCAATTCAATGATTACTATATTATATAGTTTTAGCAATAATAATATAATACAGTAATAAATTACCAATATAATATTATTTAGTTTTATATTATTTTATTAACAAATTTATTTACAATTAATTTATAAAACAAATTCATTTTGTAAACTTAACAATTAATATATAAATAAATTATTAGATTATTAAGTCACTTAATAATAAATAACTTAATAATCATTAAGTTACTTAATGATAAATAACTTAATAATCATTAAGTCACTTAATGATAAATAACTTAATAATTATTAAGTTATTTAACTTACTATTTGATATATGAATAGAATAGATCATTAAGTGATTTTAAGTAACTTAACAATTGTTAAGTCACTTAACAATAAGTAAGTTAATGATCATTAAGTCACTTAACAATAAGTAACTTAATAATCATTAAGTCACTTAACAATAAGTAAGTTAATGATCATTAAGTCACTTAATGATAAATAACTTAAAGATTAACAAATAAATAAGTCATTAAGTTACTTAATAATAAATAACAGCTAATACTAAATTAACAATTATAGTAATATGTGAATAGATTATTAAGTTACTTAACAATAAATAACAGCTAATACTAACTTAACAATTACAATAATATATAAATAGATCATTAAGTCACTTAACAATAAATAACAGCTAACTTAATAATTAACATATGAATAGATCATTAAGTTACTTAACAATAAATAACAGCTAACTTAACAATTAACATATAAATAGATCATTAAGTCACTTAATGATAGAAAAAACTTATATGCAAATTGCAGAATATTATTAATAAAAGCAGAAAAGAATATTATTTTATTTAAATAATTTGAAAAAAATTACAATATAAAATTATAAAAAAAAATTACAGCTATTTATTAAAATAAATCAGCACCTCTTTGTGCAGTAAAAATATAATGACTCAAGTCTATTAATATTGCAATTTTCCAACTATGAATAGTTAAAATATTTAAATTTACTGTATATAAATCATTATTCATGTTAAAAAATATTATGCTTTTTTTGCATCAAAGAAAAATATTGCTTATAATCCAGCATATACTATGTTGCATAATAATTTTTCAAAATTATTGATTTTAGTATGAATTGCTAAAATATTAATATTTATAAGAAAACATTGTTATACTTTCTGAATATCTCTTGCAGTTATTGCAACAAATCTTGAATTAAGATTATTACTACATATAAAAAACATTTTAGTATTAATATTAAAAAATTAATTATAAAATATAATTATTAGGTTTGTCTATCTAATTTAAATCAATATTGAATATACAAAACTATTTAAAATTTTTAGCTTCCTATTCTTTTTTGTAAATCTTCAAACAAGGTGTTGATACAAGTTTACAAAACATGTCACCATTCAGTAAAGATACTGCAAAACTTTACTGCCATTTTATCAGATATTTGAACACTCATTTTAGGGACCAAAAGTTTAAAACCCTTTTTATTATACCATTCATCTTTGGGTTATCAAGGTTTTGGCATCTTATAAATAAAGCATGCATTTCACCTCAGAACATCTAATTGATCCATTTTGAGATCTCCTAATAACATACAAAAATATTTAGTAATTATTGGTTTAATACAGATTGAGACAGCATAAGATATCCAATGCACCACACCATAAAAATTTTAAAATTTGCTCTTTCAGATTTATTATTTAAATAATAAATCTAAAAGAGCAAATTTTATTTTAAAAAAATATACAATAATTGAAATTTATAACATCAGATATTTTAATCCTGTTTGTATCATATATTAACAGTCTTTTAATACTAAAATAAGTATATATTATTAGTTGCATAATAATCAACAAGTTCTGCTAATGTTATAGTTTTTTCATCTTTAGAAAATGATCCAGATAAATTAGAAGCTTGTTGTGCTATATATGAAAAATTCTTATTGTCAAAGTATGTTATAGGAAGGTTTAAATCATCTTTATGGATTTCAATTTTATAATTATCCTTTGGCACAGTTGAAGGTAGAGGTGTCAAGACCCAGTTTTCTATATTATCAAAAACAAAATCATTTGGTAATGTTAATGTAGTAGGTGTCATCAATTGTAATCATCTCAAAGTAGTAGAAAAAATTATGCTTATCATTGCATCTATTCTTTTATTAACTAAATTATTGGTTAAAAGACCAAATCGATTATGCAATGCTCTTAAAGTAGTAGAGTGATCATTCTGAAGATAGAATTCCAAATAGTTTAGTATTGTATTAAGATCTTAAAATTTATAGAAGAAATAAATTAGCTAAGATAAATTACTCTAAAATATATTATAAAAACTATTTCAACTTGATCAAAAATATGTTGAATTATTTTTTTTATATGAAATTTTAGAGATGTCTCAAAAATTTCATATAAAAAAAAATCAATTCAACATATTTTTGATCAAGTTAAAATAGTTTTTATAACATATATTCAATGATGATAAACAAACTTCTAAAGTACATATATATCAAAAAGAGGATTTTAAATAGCATATAGTACAGATTGATATAAAACTGGCTGAGGTTGTTAAACTAACTGATATGGAACTAGTTGGAACCAAGATCATTAAAGTTATAATCAAGGTTGTATAGAAGATTAAGATTGTTGAATTGGTTGTATAGAAGATTGAATTGTTAAATTGGTTGTGTAGAAGATTGAAATCATTGAATTGGTTGTGTAAAAGATTAAGATCATTAAATTGGTGTATAGAAGATTAAGATTGTTGAAGTTGTTGATCCTGAGGTTTACTTTGGAATAGAGCTTGTTTTTTTTGGGAGGGATTTATTTTTTAAGAAAAAAAGAAAAAAAATTAAAGAAAGTAAAAAGAAAATATTATTCTTTTTAAAGAAAATTTTTAGAATACTGTCATTATAAAATTCATAAAAATTTTTTATCATGAAACTACTTTATTACAATTTCATTATAATTATATTAAGATTTTGTTGATATATAAATTTTATACTTTAAAATTTTATAACTATTTAAAGCTTTTGTCAGAGAATTATAAACAATTGTAATATGAATGAAATTATATAAAATTTTAATTATGAAACTATTTTTACAACAATTTAGTTATGATGTTATCAAGATTTGTTTTTTAGAGAACAATTTTTAAACATTGATTAATTATTTTTTTGTGAAATTATATAAATTTTAATTATAAAACTATTTTACAACAATTTGATCACAATGTCATTGAGATTTGTTAATAACTGATAAACTTAATGCTATTGTATTATGATCAAGATAAGTTTATAATATTTATAACTAATTTTTTTTAGAGAATATTTTTTAAATATTGATCTAGAGATACCAGACAGATGCAATCACATAATATTTATACATATAAAATATAATTAATTTTTACTAAATTTAGGTCATTTATATAACATTATAAAGTGAATTTTAAGTGAATAATATTTGCACCATACATAATATAATAATTATAAATATATTAATAAAAAAAAAATATAGTAATAAATTAAAGTTAGAACAATATAAAATATATATAAGGTTCTTTATATAAATATTGCATAATTTAAATTTATCACATCACACTACAATGCATTTCAAATTACATAATCTGAGATCTCTACATCAATTGAACTAGAGTTAATACTTGGATTCAGATTTAAAAATTAAATCCAGATTTAATTATTAAATTCAGATTTAATTGTAAGATCTGGATTTAAATATAAGAATTAGTTAAATCTGAATTTAATAATTAAATTCAGATTGGATGTAACAACTTAGTGAAGTAGATAAGTTGTTAATCCTCCAAGTAATAGGTTGGAAGTTCAAAACCTACTGACAGTGAAAATTTGCAAAACTACCTATGTATATTGATATTATGGGCATTTGTGCAATGTTTGAGTTAACCAGTATCAGGTAGTACAAACCCAAGATAAGTTCTTGTATCCAGTACTACAGCAACAGCAATCTATTGATCAGTTGGAATTAGTACTTGTAACATGATTGCATCAGATAACTGGCAGGTCATAGGGCATTTGTGCAATATTGGAATTATACAGAGGAATGCAAACTGGCATTGAACAGTGCAAACACAAGATAAGTCCTCATGGTCATGTAAATCTGTGAACTGAGAAAACTGGAGCCTACTTGGGAAGACCCAAATAAAAAGGTAGCACGGATCTTCAACAGTACTACTGTAAAGGCTAGATCTAGGAAATGGATACCAATGTGGAAGAAATTGGGCAGGCAAGAATCTCGGAAGAAGGGTACTACCAATTAGGTCACTGGAAGTTTTAAACCAGAGGAAAAGGATCTTGAGAGGCAGACCTTGGGGTACTAGAGACAGGTCACAGTCCTACCAGACTATCTGAATTGGAAGTTTGGTTCAGAAGCAGGATATACTATAAGTACTAAGGATATGCTATGAAGTCAGTACTGGGGTTTGTATGAACTTTACAAAGGTGAACCCTGTTAGCAAAGATTAAATGTGGGTAGTTAGTTAGCAGGAGGGCCCTCTGGAGTCCTATAGTCAGGTGATGTACTCTGAAATGTGTAATGGCTTGACAGACATACAGACAGAGAGGTCAAAGTTAGGGTAGATGGCATCTAATTAGATGTATGAAAGCTTAGTTTACTATTTGCTAGTATAGTATAGGAGTAACCTTGTACAAGTTATATAATTATAATTAAATTTACAATAAAGGCAGTAGTTGCCAATAACTAATAGCCTTAGCAAAAGCAAAAAAAAAAATAATAATAATAATTAAATTTGGATCCAAGTATTAATCTAGATTGAATAATAGATAAAATTAATAATACATGTTTTATTTACTAGAATTTCGAAATATAATTTTGTAATAAAAAGAATAAAGATTTTTTTTTTTATCATCATTCTTTTTAATATAAAGATCTTTATAATCTAAGTCAATTGCTAAAATATCTTATTTTTTTTTTTTTCCCTTAGACAGTCACACTAGTACTTTATTAAGATTTTTGCAATTGCTACAATTACATAAAACTA